CTCTCTCTCTCACACACACTCACACACAAATACACACACACACACACTCTCTCTCTCTCTCTCTCTCTCACACACACACACACAAATACACTCACACACACACACAAATACACTCACACACACACACACTCACACACACACTCACATTTGAAATCCAACAAGCACATAATATTATTATTACATGAGCGAACCACTGAATGGCAGAAAGAATGAATAAAGTAATGAAATAACCACCCTCTCGTCGGCTTTTGTTCCCGTGAACCTCAATGAGCTTCATACAATAGTTTTTGTATTCCTATGAAAAAAAGAAGTACTTCACATGTTGGCCCAGAAGAGCAGAGTGCAGTGCACCGTTCTGAATACAAAGACAGCACCCGAGTACCGACGCCAGAGTGTCAAAACCTTGGTGAGGGAAAGAAAAAAACGCGCCAAATAAACTGGAAACAAAACTTGGGCTCGAACGACCTCTAAGATTTATTCGTGTAATGAAACACCTTTGCTCTGATGATATCATGTGGCGTGAGTGAGCTTGAAAAAATAATAGTAACACGTTCATGGCCCTAATAATATAATTCCCAAATCCTTTTGAACTCTGTACTCTCCCTGTGGCCTTGAATTACTTCTATGATTTATTCATATTATTATAATGGAACAGCTTTAGCTGTTATGTTTTAATGTAACTCATGGAAGCTTTTAAAACATTAGTAGGTATATTACTCTAAAAATGACATGTTATTTTAATAAGTACTTATTTGAGGTGATAATAGATTCCAAAACATGTCAAAGAGATGTTCCTTGTTAATTATTTATCTTTGTTTTCCCTGTTAGGTCCCAAGCTACTGAAACGGAGGAATCGGCTTTGGAACGACAAAGGAGAAAGTACGAGTACGTGGAACCCCAGTGGTTTTTCCTTTTTCAGATGTTAGTCCACTTGCCGTTTCCTTAAGTGAGTAAATTTTAATACTTAAAAAAAAAAAACTTTTAAAATTTAGATCTCTTTTCTTGTGGGTTTTTAGATGAAGAGGTGTGAGTGTGTGTGTATGTGTGTGTGTTAGGGTGGAGGGGGGGGGGGGGTGATATAGGCTGGTGGTGAGGGGCAGTTTCTTTCCTCTTTGTTTTTGTCGTCACATCTGCTGTTCTTCTCTTTTTGCCATAGTCTTCTTCTTCTTTTTCTAATACAGACTGCTTTCATAAAGGCTTTTGTTCGCAGGAAGCAAATTTCAATTTTCCCTTCTCGTGAGCTAATAGAGGAGTATAAAAAGCTTGGTGATGTGGTGTATTTTGGTAGAACAACTTGATTAACCAACAGGAAACTTAAGCTCGAATTGAAGCTGAACTAAAAGTTTGAGTTGTTCTTTCAATCTTTCAATCTGTTTTTCCACTCAGCCACCGCCTTCAAAACTGATCAATTTTGTAACGACTGGATAGTAGAATTGTATTATTTCTATACCAATTTCAGAAGACACCAAAGAAAAACAAAACTACTTGAACCATGTCCTCTCTCTTTTGGCAGCTCACATCTCTTTACTATGCCCAAATTACATCCAACAAAATGTTAGATTTTAAGGGTAATTTGTCAAATGTATTTCAACTAATTGATTAATTAATTTTAAAAATCTATTCATTTATTAATTTATTAATCAT